ATGAACTCACTTTCAACAAAGGTGCACAAAACGGGGAGGGCTGTGCAACACAGAGAAGAGAAGTAGTGATTTTACAGCATCTTACTATGCTGATGTACAGTGACTGTGAAGGGGTATGTAGGGGGAACTTGGTGAAGGGGGGAGCCTAGTAAACATAATGTTGTTCATGTAATTGTAGATTAATGGTACCAAAATTTTAAAAAAAGTGCACAAGGCAATTCAGTGGAAAAAATAGACTTTCAACAAAGTGTTCCAGATGCTGGAACAATAATAAGAAAAAAAAGAACTTCAAACCGTATCACGCTATACACAGAAGTCAACCCCCAAAATGGATTAGAGACCTATATGCAAAACCTAAAACTATAACATTTCTATTGGAAATGTTATAGGAGAAAATTTTATGGTCTTTGACTAGGCGAGGAATTCTTAGGTATGATACCAAAAGCATGAACCATAGAAGGAAAAAAAGTCAGTTAATAGGACTTCATTAAAATTAAGAACTTTTTCTCTTTGAAAAACACAAGTGAAGAGACCAGCCACATATATAGTAAGGAGCTTATATCCAGAAAATAAGAAGAACCTTAAAAACACAACAATAAACAAAATAATCCAATTAAAAATGGCCAACAGATACCTCATCAAAAAGATATGGTCATAGCAAGTAAGCACATGAAAAGATACTCAATATTAGTCATTAAGGAAATACAAATTAAAACCACAATGAGATACCACTACATAGCTTTGAAAATGGCTAAATTTATAAAGAACAACCTTACCAAGGATGGGGAAGAACTAATTCTGTCATATTGCTGGTGGGAAAGTAAAATAGTACATCCATTTTGGAAAACAGGTTGGCAGTATAGTTAACTATACACTGACTATATGATTCAGACGTTCAACTCCTAGGTCGGTACCCTAGAGAAATTGACACTGATGTCCATACAGAGTTCTATACACGAATGTTTATAGCAGCTTTATGTGTAGTGGCCAAACAGTGGAAGCTAAATGTTCATCAGCAGGTGAATGGATAAATTGTATAACCATATAATGGAATATGACTCAGTAATAAAAAGGAGTCAACAACGCACACAACATGGACAAATCTCAAGATAATTATGCTGCAGAAAAGAAGCCAGACAAAAAGAACATCACGTATCATTCCATTTGTATAAACTTCTATAAGACCCTAGAGAAAATCATTCTAAAATTCATATGGATCCACAAAAGACCCCGAATAGCCAAAGCAATCCTGAGAAAGAAGAATAAAATGGGGGATTATGCTCCCCAACTTCAAGCTCTACTACAAAGCCACAGTAATCAGACCCATAGACCAATGGAACAGAGTAGAGAACCCTGATATAAACCCAACCATATACGGTCAATTAATATATGATAAAGGAACCATGGACATACAATGGGGAAATTACAGCCTCTTCAGCAGCTGGTGATGGCAAAACTGGACAGCTACATGCAAGAGAATGAAACTGGATTATTGTTTAACCCCATACACAAAAGTAAACTCAAAATGTATCAAAGACCTGAATGTAAGTCATGAAACCGTAAAACTCTTAGAAGACAACATAGGCAAACATCTCCTGAATATAAGCACGAGCAACTTCTTCCTGAACGCATCTTGAACAAAGGAAACAAAAGCAAAAATTAACTCATGGGACTACATCAAACTAAAAAGTTTCTGTACGGCAAAGGACACCATCAACAGAACAAAAAGGCATCCTACACTATGGGAGAATATATTTGTAAATGACATATCTGACAATGGTTTAACATCCAAAATACATAAAGAACTTACACACCTTAACACCCAAAAAGCAAATAACCCGATTAACAAATGGGGAGAGGTTATGAAGAGACAGTTCTCCAAAGAAGAAATTCAGATGGCCAACAGGCACATGAAAAGATGCTCCACATCACTAATCATCACGGAAATGCAAATTAAAACCACAATGAGATATCACCTCACACCAGTGAGGATGGCCAGCATCAAAAAGACTAAGAACAACAAATGCTGGCGAGGATGCGGAGAAAGGGGAACCCTCCTACACTGCTGGTGAGAATGTAAGCTAGTTCAACCATTATGGAAAGCAATATGGAGGTTCCTGCAAAAACTAAAAATAGAAATACCATTTGACCCGGAAATCTCACTCTTTGGAATTTACCCAAAGAATACAACGTCTCAGATTCAAAAAGACATGTACACCCCTATGTTTATTGCAGCACTTTTTACAATAGCCAAGATATGGAAGCAACCTGTGTCCATCAGTAGATGAATGGATAAAGAAGATGTGGTACATAAATACAATGGAATACTATTCAGCCATAAGAAAGAAACAAATCCTACCTTTGGCAACAACATGGATGGAGCTGGAGGACATTATGCTCAGTGAAATAAGCCAGGCGGAGAAAGACAAGTGCCAAAATAATTTCCCTCATTTGTGGAGTATAACAACGAAGCAAAACTGAAGGAACAAAATGGCAGCAGACTCAGAGACTCCAAGAAGGAACTAGTGGTTACCAAAGGGGAGGGGTGTGGGAGGGCGGGTGGGGAGGGAGGGAGAAGGGGATTGAGGGGTATTATGTTTAGTACACATCGTGTGGGGGATCACGGGGAAAACAGTATAGCACAGAGAAGGGACATAGTGGATCTGTGGCATCTTACTACACTGATGGACAGTGACTGCATTGGGGTATGGGTGGGGACTTGATAATATGGGTAAATGTAGTGACCACATTGTTTTTTCATGTGAAACCTTCTTAAGAGTGTATATCAATAATACCTTAATAAAAAATTCTGTAAGATCCAATCTATCTGTAATGACAGAAAGCAGATCAGAGATTGCTTGGGAAGGGGAAGGAAAAGAAAGGGCAAGAGGTAAGGATAGCAAAGAAGCAGGAGAAATCTCTTGGGTTATGGATATATGTTGACTATCTTGTGCAATGTACAGCACATGTCAAATTATAATACTGTTTACTCTGAATACATGTAAACTGTATGTATGTCAATTATATTCAATAAAGTGTTTTAAAAAATTGCAATGAGCCTAGAACATCTTGTCATACTAGAAAACAAGGAAACATCATTTTTCTAAAGGATTCAGGTGCCAACTTGAATAGGCAGGCACCCACCGGCCAAAGACAGGAAAATAAAAGCATCAAGTAATATAAAAACTAGTGGATTGAAAGAGAACAAATGTGTTTAAATCCATGTTCTCATAATGATAGATTTAAAATGTGTTCATAATGATGATAAGAACTTCATTGATCAATTGGAAGATACTAGGGAACTGATTAATTACTTTGAAAACTGCTACAGGTAAAGTTAGGCAGTTACCCTGACTTTCTTATATGAAGTGTACCTCATGTAATCAATTAGTCAATTAAAGGACATTCCTCTTATGGGTATTACAACTAATAGATGCTGATGGTATTACCATTGACCAACCCTAATCAATGCAATGATCATCAATGGCTGCAAACATCACAAAATGAGAGACAAGCAGGCATTATGATTCTCCTCGTACACAATACCACCACATAAGTAGTCTTGTCAAAGAAAAAAAAATCAAACCTGATCTTATCAGATCTTTTAGCTCTACCTACCAAGATGCAGAGAACAAAGAAGGCAAAAGGCAGTTGTTAAAACAATGCCATGTGAAATCCAAAAGGCAGTTGTTAAAACAATGCCATGTGAAATCCAGACTGGGGCAAACTACAGGACAAACTATCTGGTTTCTTCGGAAACCGAGAAAGAAAAGAAATGAAAAGGACATTAAAGAGATTGCAAGCGAAAAAGAGAGAAAGAGAGAAACCATAGAATTAAGGAGATTTAAGAGATTTTTTAACCAGTTGCAATGTGTAGTCTGGATCTCAATTCAAACTGTTGTTTAAAAAATGACATTTACAGGCCAATAAGGGAAACGTAACCATTTGACGTTTGATGATATTAGGAAATAGTACTGTTGATTTTTTTTGGGGGGGGGGAGGTGATAGTTTGGGAATATGTTTTAAAAAGGGAATGCTTGCCTTTTGAAGATGCATTCTGAAATGCTTACTGGTGAAATCATATGATGTATGGTATTTAATGTTCAGGAGAGGGCGACATAGGTGCAGGCATAGAGAGTTGGTTAATTGTTGAAGTTGAGTAATGACTGGTATGGTGGTCATTAGACTAGTCTCTCTACTTTTGTGTATGTATGAAATATTTTTAAATTGTGCAATAAATGTTTTAAAATTGTGCGTCAAAATGAATGCACTAATGTGAAAAATGCAATGAAAAAATCGGGAAGAAATTTTTCATGCAGGATGCTGACGCTTCTTGCCTGAGAACGGTAGGATGAGTCATCTCCCCTTTCATTTCTACATCTGCTGTCTGTATATTTTTATATTATTGTTAAAATGAGAAATTATGCATAGTAAGTCCTACAGGTCAATAAACAAAACCTCTCTATTATTGCTGTCCTCGTCCTAGTGTTGAAAACTTATCTATTCTCTCCACCACGTCCTCCAGGTTTTTGCTAAGCTTTCCGCCACTGTTTCCAAGTTTAGATGATCTGTGTTCCGGATATATCAAGGATTTTGAAGAAAACGGGTCAAGTTCATCGATTGGGCCATCCCTCCGCTGTCGGCTGGCCCGCGCCGCCCGCCCCTTAGCGCGGCGACCCCCAGCTGCACAGTGTGGCTTCAGGACCTGCCGTCTTCCGACGCGCGCGCGCGCAGCGGGACTACATCTCCCAGGGGGTTCTGCACCTCGCAGGGGACAGCCTGGGCAGCGGAGGACTACACTACCCATGATATCTTGCGAGAGGCGCTTGCCTCGTGATGACTGTACAATCATTGGCCTAGCGTTTGTCGGGCGCTGCGCGGTGATTGGTCCAGGAGCGCCTCCGTTACCGCCGCGCGCACCAGGGTTTGTTGGTGGACTGCGGTGAGGAGGGAGGAAGCGAGCGTGGGGAACCCGGCCGCGCCCTTGCTGCCGGGTGAGTGACCTCTTCCTACCTCTGCTTCCTCGCTGTGCGCTCGGGGTCCTGCACGCTCCCTTCCCGAGGGGAGCACACACGTGGGGGTACTCGGCGGGGACAGGGACAGTTCACACAGGTGTCGCTCCTGACCTGAGAGGCATCTTCAGGGACGCAGCAGGCAAAACCCTTTACACACCCGGGTCGCCTGTACACATGGGTGCCCCCCTCGCGGGCTGCTTCTCAGACCCAGGGAGAAGAAACATGCCCTGCGACACTTCTGGACACCTGTGTCCGTACGCGGGTGTGGCATCTGCAGAGACCCTCAGCTGAACACGTGGGCACCCGGGCACACCGGCCCCGCTAACGCAAACGCCAGGGGCTTCTGCAGTAAGAGAAGGTGGGTAGCATCCACCCGCCCCCTGCCACTTAAACCAGCGGACCCCCTCTCCTTCTTCTGGGTGATGTATTATGCATATCATGCCTGTAATCATATTTCATTTTAATTTTGTCTCTAGTTAAATATCAAGGCTTATTTGTAGAAGGAGGAAATTTTGGAAAAGCAGAAAAATAAGGCGACCATGGGACTATATTTAACCAGCCCTTTCATGTGTCTAAACCGTTTTTACAAAGCTTACCACATGCGGTGTCTTTCATGATCCCCCCAGCAATCTGGGCAAGGCAGGGCAGACATCATTCCCATTTTCCAGAAGAGAAGATAGCCCAGGTTAGATAAACCTGCCCTCAGTACCTGGGAGAGGCAGAACTTGAACTCAGGCTTCTTGATCTGGGGTTTAAGGTTATGTCCAACTATGCAGAGCTGCACATTTATAGAAATGCCTCTTTCCCTCCCTGACAGCAGGGAGCTGACCTTGCATAGTGTGATCTCAGCTGTCCCTGTGAACCTCTGGAGAGGTTTTGCCTCTCAGTCACCTGCCCCGTGTTTAAACTGCTCCTCGTAGGTGCCTGGGGAGAAGGAGCTTGGATTAATGTCACAGAAAAGTTGATGGGAAAGGCCTTTAAGGTTATGGAGAGAAAGTACCAGGAAATGGGCACATTCCTGGAGGTTTCATGCGATCAGACTTTTAATAAAATACTGTTTAGAATAGTTTGCCTAATAGTGCTCCATGGCAATGTTTTGTTAATTTTATAGACAAACTGGAGTGCTGCTCTTGTATCTCCAGAAAAGAGAGGGCTTGGGGCTGAGAGAGTGGTGCAGAGTGCCAGGGTAGTTGAGAGATGAAAACGAATTAGTGTGGGGTGGTGGAGGGTCACTGTGTGGGAACTGGTTTCCTTCTTACTAAAGATACTATTCCAAAACAAGGTTCATTCTGAGGTTCCTTCTATCAAAAAACCATTTTGTATTTAGTTTTAGATAAGGTTTTCGAGGGCCATAACAAATTCAAATAGTGTAGAATTATATAAAGAAAAAGGAAGAGATCTACCTTCCCTCTTCTTTGCCCATCTTGCTCCGGCCTTACCAACCTCTTGGTGTGTGTGTTATCACAGACTTTCCCCCTATGTTTCATTCAACTATAGTGAGTGTGTATAGGCCTTGCTGTTGTTCTTTTGCAAAAATGAAGTTATACTAGACACACTGTTTTGAAACCTGCTCTTTTCTATGTTTCAGTCTGTTGTGGACATCTTTTCAAATGTGTGTATCACACTGGCTCATCCTTTATAATGGCTGCATAGCATCCTATTCCATGCATGTGACTCTGCATGTGACTCATTGCATGGACGCAACTTAGTGTAATTATCCATCACTCTATTGATAAGCATTTGCATTCTATCCAGTTTTACAAACAGTGATGCAGTGCATGACATCTTATAGCCATGCTAGTATTTCTGTAGAACAGTGGTTCTCAGCCAGAGGCAATTTATGCCCCAGGAGGCATTTGTTAATGTCAGGAGATACTTTTGATTGTCACGAGGGAAGTGTGGTGGTGCTGCTGTCTAGAGACCAGGGGCACTGCTGAACATGCCACAGTGCACAAGACAGCCCCAAACTACAAAGAATTACCCATTCCAAAATGGCAGTAGTGCTGAGGTTGAGAGGCTGCTCTAAATAAAAGTGGAATTAGATATTTATTTATTTTTTTAAGACCCCATACCCAACAACTTATGACATAGCCACTGAACAGAACATTATTTAGCCATTTAAAATGGTATTTATGAAGATCTTATAGCAACATCATGTTTGTGACATTTTGTTTTTTAAAAGCCACATACAGGAAAAAAGTAAGAGAATTTGTGAAGTGAAGTATTACGATGGGGTTTTTTCCCTCTCTCTACAAGGTCGTTATTACTTCTATAATCTCAAAGTTACTTGGTTTTTAGTCATTCAGTCATTAAGTGTTCTTAAAGCCTTTGGGGTGTGCCAGGCACTGAGCTGATCTCGAGGTATGGCTGTAAAGTAGGCTGAGTCCTTGTCCACATGGAGCCTACCTCCTGCGCACGGAGAGGACAGAAGTGTGTACCTTGGAGGGGATGCTCTCGAGCTGAGCGCTGGTGGATGAGACGAGCTAGCCTGGGGAAAAGCAAGCAGGGGTAAGAATGGGACTGCATTTCAGACATGGGGACAGTAGGTGCGGAGGCAAGGCTGGCAGATAGGAACATGAGTAGTGTTTTCTAGGAACTGGTCAGAAGCACCGAGCCCACTCTGATTGGAGAGACAGAAGAGTGGTCCAGGGCAAGGTTGAAGAGGGCATCAGTCAGGTGGCTCGGGCGCATGATTACATAGCATAACCAGTATGCCAGCGATGTAGGGGGGATGCAGGTGGCTTGGTTGCTGAGTGGTCTCCTTGGATCACGGGGCCTTGTTAAGAGTAGCCCAGGCCCATTCTGAGCGTGCACTGCTGGCCATTCCCCTCAGCAATCAGCCTGAGTGGGCTCTGCCCTCACGCTAACAGCCTGGGACTTGACCGCAGGCAGGCAGTTTGCCATAAAGCCGGGTGGGTTGGAAGTGAAGGATTTCCTACCAAGCCTGTTCATTCATTCAGTCGACAGATATTCTGAGCACTTACATGGTAGGCTCTGTTCCAACACTGGAAATAACAGGATGGACAAATGAGGCCAAGGTCGTGTTTTCATGGGCTTGCATTTCTAGTGGAAAAGAGACACGAAGCAGCTATAAGGACATAGGGGTGCATCCACGAATGTCCAGTAAGCAACTGCTATAAAGGAGAATAAAGCCAGGTCAGGGCTTGTACAGGAATGTGGTCTCTATGTTAGATGGGCTGGTCGGCGAGGGCTGCTCTGAGGAGGTGTGTGAGCAGAGACCCCAGGAACTTGGTCTGGCGTTTACTCCCTGTCTCTTGCATTTAGCTTGAAGCTGATGGACGTTGTATGGGCCAGAGGCAGGGATGGTTGGCTATGACCCCAAAGCTGATGGCAGGAATATCTCCAGTTTCGAGGTGGCAGTGGCTGGGTCTGTATCTGGACTTGTCACTCGAGTACAGATCAGTCCCTTGGATGTCATCAAGATCCGTTTCCAGGTACCCTTTCCCCTTCTTCCATGTAACGGGCTAGAGGACAAGGACACTCTTTCTTGCCAAACAGTTCTTAGAGCTCAGAATTTTGTCGAGGAGGAGCACTTCACCACTTTGTTACCTTTTCTGAGATTTCTCCTTCTCACCCCTCGCCTGCCCCTAAAGGTTGTTCTAACTTTTCCATTTTAATTCCTAGCTTCAGATTGAGCACCTGTCTCGTAATGACCCCAGTGCAAAATACCATGGGATCCTACAGGCTGGGAGACAGATTTTGCAGGAGGAGGGCCCGACAGCATTCTGGAAAGGACACATCCCAGCCCAGCTTCTCTCCATAGGCTATGGAGCTGTCCAGGTAGGTGGCAGGGGAATCAGCCAGTCCCCTGGGGTCGCCTTGCTCAGTGGGGGAACACGAGGGTAGGACATGCGGGGACACTGCCAGGGCAGAGCAGCAGGAGGCAGTCACCACACTGCTCGCCCTTGTCTTAGCTAGGAAACTGACAAATTGAAAACATGGTCAGACTGAGCTGTACCGGAGGCATTCCTTCCCCCATGTCCCCCAACCCCAGGGGACTAAGCATCCACTGAGTACCAGGCCTTGTTCCTAGGAAACTCACTTGACACCATACGCCCAGTGGGGCTCGGCGAATGGCAGCACACATGCTTTTCGTTTTTCAAAATAGCATTTTCACATCTGTGCTTCCTTTAAACTTCCCAATAGCATTGTGAGGAAAGTAGAGTAGGTGTTATGGGGTCACAGAGAGGTTAAGTGAGCTGCCTGAGGCTACACAGCCTGTAAGTGGTTGGGCTGGGATGGGAGTCCAGGCTTCTGGACTTTTGTTCACACATCCGTTCAGCTGAGCACCCATTGATTTCATGGTGGATGCTATATAGCTGTGCCTATAACGGCCAATTAGTGGTAGTGGCCAACCCAGGTGTGGTCCTAATTATGGCCAGACCCTGTTTTAAGCACTTTACCTATGTTACCTCACCATAGTCCTCTGAGTAGGTTCTGCTCGCACTCCTGTGTTACAGCCAAGAAGACCGAGGCAGAGAATGCTTATGTAATTAGCCCAACCAGAGTCACTAGCTAGAAGGTGGCGGAGCCAGGATTCCCAGCTGGGCAGCTGGCGCCAGTAGTGGCTGCGTGCTTCCCCTACGATGTCACGGCTCACCAGGTTGACGTACTGCTGCCTTCCCATCTCTGCACCTGGTGCCCAGACACTGCCTCACGATGAGTGAACACAGCAGCATGTGCCCTCGGGACCCCGTGCCATCTTGGGCAGGCTGAGGGAGATCTCAGTGTAAAGGGGTCACACCATGACTGCGGACTGTGTGGAATTCTCCTGACAGAACTTTGCCCCCGAGCGGGATGTTTTCTCACTGTGCCACAGGAGAGCACCAGATAATGGCTATCTTTTCCCAGTTCTCAGGAAACTAAGTTAATGAGTATTGAGTTTTCTGATACAGAATTTTTCTCATATATTTTCTTAAGCCTTTGGGTGTTTGGTGCTACTCAGAGTATAATATGACATCCGAGCTTTGCACAAAATTGAATCTGTTGTATTCGGCCACAGCTCAAGAAGAATATTTTCTCGTCTGCAGCCCTGGGCCCCCCTGAGTCCTGGGTGGCACCCTGGGGGTGTTTGTCACTGACCTTGCCATGTGTTTTTGCAGTTTTTGTCGTTTGAGCTGCTGACTGAGCTGGTGCACAGAACCACTGTGTACGATGCCCGTGACTTCAAGGTGCACTTCGTGTGTGGCGGCCTGTCTGCCTGTGCGGCCACCCTTACCGTGCATCCTGTGGATGTCCTGCGTACCCGCTTTGCAGCTCAGGGTGAGCCCAAGGTGAGAGGGCAGGCCAGGGAAGAGGGGTCTGAGTGACAGAATGGGTCTCAGGAGTTGGGGCTCTTTTCCTTAGAAAGAGCAAAGCTGGGGGAGCCTGGAGTTTCTGGTCCCTCTTTTGGTCCATTTGCAAAAGTTGTGACTGTGTGCATACCATCCAGGTGCTCACAGCCTCGGGTGGGAGACAGAACAAGTACTGGACAGTAGGCTGGACAGGGAAGGCGTCTGGGAAAATGAGGCTTGAAACCATATTCTATACTGTGAGAGCGGTTTAGGTTTCCACAAAGAAAGGACTGGAGGAAATGGGGTAACTGTCAGACCCCAGGAAGATCTTGCTGAGTGAGAGTGAGGGATTCAGCTCTGAAGTAGGCCCCCCCACCATAATCTCTGCTGTCTGGACATACGTAAGAATAGCATCGTGTGTATGTGTGTGTTCTCAACCAAGAAAGAATAATTTTCTACATCTCATTTCTGCTTTAGCATATTGTTAGTGGGGAGTGGTGCTTTGTTAAGAATTTGATCTGGGACCAGTTAGAAAAACCAGTTTCAGTTCTGCTGGTTCTTTGTGTTGCCTGGGGTGGAGATTCTGGGCTGGGGGGAGCCCTTTTGTTTAGGAGATAATCCTGATCAGTTTTTCGGTTGGGAAGAGCAAAGTCCCCTGGGAACAGTCTGTAAGAAAACAAATGTTAGACCACTGTGACCCTGAAGTGGGAAAGGAAGGTTTGGGGTGATTGTCCTGGTGGAGAAATGAGGTAACGGGCCCTAGAAACTGAGCAGAGAAATGAAGAGGACAGGTATTTATAGATGGACAGGACAGACATGGTTTCCGGGATGCAGAAAGGTGGCTGGTGACAGTCCTTCCACCTCTCTGTTCCCGGTTTGCTATAATCCTCCTCTGTTACTTTCCAACCTTCAGTAAAAGTCATGAGAAGGAAAAGGCAAAGAAAGTATTAAGAAAAGAGAACAGCATATTACCTGGTGGCTTAGATGATTGCAGTGTTGGATTCTATATTCTTATTTCTCTAGATTCTAGATTCTATTTCTCTCTCTCTTTTTCTCTCTTTCCTTCTTGTTTTTGGATTATAGGCAGTAACTCCTGACTGCTACTATGGAAGATGAGGATTCACCCCTTTTACCATCACCCTTGTGTGTGCATGTGCCTCCTCCCCATCTGATTACAGTACAACTGATTAATAGGTTTGGGTTAAGCAATACCAAGTGTTTATGCTATTATGATTATGTAAAGCTGTTACTGCTGAGCCTTGAGAAATGTTACGATCACATCTTCTTTGATATTCTTGTCTTTCATGAAGTTAGTGATTGCCTTGAATTTTATTTGTTTAGCTTCCTACATGCCTATCATGGATTCACCCTCCAACACTCGGGATAGGGTCTGCTGTGGGCATCAGCCCCATGGGGTCATGGAGCCTCCTCACAGGGAGCCCTCCACTCAGGCGCCCTTTACCCCCCAGCTTCAGTCTGGACCGTTTGCTCTAGGACTGTTGCCAGCTGGTCTCTTAAGAATTCTCCTGTTGAATACCATGTCCTCTCTTTCTCAGTTAATCCCTTGTGTGGACGGAGCATATCCTGAGATGTAGCTTCCTTCGCGAAGCCTTGATAGAAATGCCTTTGTTTTACCCTTACACTTGACTGATGATTTAGAATTCTAGGTAGCTGTTACGTGTTGCTGAAGAGAAGTCCAGAACCATTTTGATCACTGTTCCTTTATATGAAACCATCCCTCTCCGTGCCTCGGGGGTTTTCAGAAGCTTTGCTTGCTCTCTGGCATTCTAGAAATTTGCCAGTGATGTGCACTGATGTGGGTCTCATTCATTGTGATGGGCCCTTCCTGGACACTCATGGTCTTCATGCCTGGAAAATGGTTATGAATTATTTATTCATAATTGTCTGCCCTCTATTCTTTTCTGTCTTTTTGGAATTCATGGCAGTTGGATGTTAGGTATCCTGGATTGATCCTCTGATTTTCTCTGTTCTCTGCTGTTGTTCAGCTCTTTGTCTTTCTGTCCTACTTTCAGGTGGGGGGGGGCGTCTCCTTACTTTTACCATTTGGGCCCTCTATTGAATTTTTTTTTTTTTTTACATATGTATTCCAATGTTTTTTGTTGCATTATTAACAATAGCCAAGATATGGAAGCAACCTAAGAGTCCATCAATAGATGAATGGATAAGGAAGATGTGGTACATACATACAGTAGAATATTACACAGCCATAAAAAAAATGAAATCTTGCCATTTGCAACAACATGGATGGACCTAGAGGGCATTATGTTACATAAAATAAGCCCAGCAGAGAAAAGCAAATTCTGTATGGTTTCACTTAGATGTGGAAGCTAAAAACAAAACAAAACAAATGAACACAACAGATATGGACACACAGACATAAGAAGGTACAGGTGGCGCCATGGGGGAGCAAAATGGGGGAGTGAAATAGGTAAAGAGGATAAAGAGGCATAAAATCCCAATTATGATTAAATTAGCCATGAGGTTGAAAGTACAGAATAGGAAATATAATCAATAATATTTCAATATCATTATTTGATATTGAGAGATAGTAACACCACTTATTGTGATGAGCATTTAATAATATAAATAACTGTTGAATCTCTATGTTGTACATCTGAAATGCATCTAATATTGTATATCAACTATACTTCAGTAAAAGAGAAATAAACCCACCTAAATCATATATTGGAGAAATGCTAGACACAATTCATCTTGAGACAAACTTCTCTGCAGCTATGAATCCACAAAACCAAACAAGCTGTGTGCTTCAAAATGGCCCCATGGGGCAGATATAAGAGAGACATTCCCATTCCCAAAGGGAGAAGTAGGGAAGAGAAAAGGGGCAACAGGTACCAACTAAGTCCAAGTATTAAACATTCAGCCTGGAGAATAATCCACTTTTTCTCTGTTCTCCATCTTCTAGGCCCACTGCTGTGGCAAAGTCCTCACCATAGCTCAGCAGGACTGCCCCACTGTAGCTCACTGGCTCTGCTGCAAGCCCACCCATGTCATGGTTCTTCCAGGATGGGGTCTTGCACCCTTGGTGCCAGAAATCCAGAAAACTTACATGGAATCATCCATGATCCCTGGGCCTATGTATACCTGCAGAGATCACATCCCATGGATAGTGCCAAAGTTTGCTGCTTGCACCTTCCAGTGGGATGGCCACCATGGCCAGTGCTGCATGGGGGCCTGATAGAACTGCATTTTGGTTGCATAGAAGCATGGCCCAGAGCATGAGAAACAGCCCATGAAGTACTGTTACAATGACAATGTGATACAAATTCCTACAGGCATTGGTGGCACCTCCTTTGAATTCTTGGTGGAGGTAGCCGTGCCTTCACCCCTTTCACTCTGTGCCTGTGATGGAAGTGACATCCCTGATCATCTCTAAATCACCTTCAGCTTATTCTTGCATTGTCCTGAAGAATAGCACTTGGCTTCGATTGAGATGGCTGATACTTACACATTCTCTTTTTTTTTCCTCCTTTTTCTTCCTCCTCCATTCTTTATATATTAGGTATCATATTATGTACTCTTTGTTTATCCCTTGACTGGCTTTGGGGTGGTTGATTTGATTTTGCATCTCCTTAGTAATTAATTGGTCTACTTTCTTTACTATGGTTTTATTTCTTCTGGTGATAGCTATTTAGCCTTAGGAACACTTCTATCTATAGCAGTCCCTCCAAAATACACAGTAGAGATGGTTTGTGGGAGGTAAATTCTCTCAGTTTTTGCTTATCTGGAAATTGTTTAATCCCTCCTTCAAATTTAAATGATAATTTTGCCAGGTAGAGTATTCTTGGTTCGAGGCCCTTCTGCTTCATTGCATTAAATACATCATGCCACTCCCTTCTGGCCTGTAAGGTTTCTGTTGAGAAGTCTGATGATAGCCTAATGGGTTTTCCTTTGTATGTGATCTTATTTCTCTGGCTGCTTTTAATACTCTGTCCTTATCCTTGATCTTTGCCATTTTAAATATTATATGTCTTGGTGTTGTCTTCCTTAGGCCCCTTGTGTTGGGAGATCTGTGCACCTCCATGGCCTGAGAGACTATCTCCTTCCCCAGATTGGGGAACTTTTCAGCAATTACCTCCTCAGAGATACTTTCTATCCCTTTTTCTTTCTTCTTCTTCTTCTGGTACCCCTATAATGTGAATGTTGTTGCGTTTGGGTTGGTCACACAGTTCTCTCAATATTCTTTCATTCCTAGAGATCCTTTTTTCTCTCTGTGCCTCAGCTTCTTTGTATTCCTCTTCTCTAATTTCTATTTAATTTACTCTCTCCTCTACTTCATCTAATCTGCTTTTGAATCCCTCCATTGTATGTTTCATTTCAGATACTGTATTCTTGAACGTTTGTATATCATTCCTGAATTCCTCCTTGAGTTCTAAGTTCTTGGATATTTTTCTGTAGCTCTGTGAGCATCTTTATGATTTTTATTTTGAAATCTCTTTCAGGAAGATTGATGAGTTCAGTTTCACTTGGCCCTCTTTCTGGTGTTCATGGGATTTTGGTTTGAACCAGGTTCCTTTGACGTTTCATATCTGTAGGTGGCACCCTCTAGTGCCCAGAAGCTCTACTCTCTGGAGCTGCTTAGTCACTGGAACGATGGCGGGGTCCACAGGGGAGCGGTGCTGGTGCCTGTCAGGAGGAAAGAGGTCTTTCCTGCTTCCTGGCTGCAATGCCTGTCTCTACTGCCAGGGCCAGTGGGCTGAGCATACAGGGAGAAGCCTCAATGCCTTGTACTTGTAGCTGTCATAGGCAGGGCTGCCCTCTTGCTGGCCTGGTACAATGGCGGGGGTGGCCGGTTTGTGAGCTGGTGCTGGCAGGGAGGAAGGCGCAGCAGGCTGTGTATTATGGTGGGGGGCCTTGGAGCTGCATAGCCAGCCAGGGGGATGGAGTGCCTGAAGCTTCTGAAAGTTCCCAACCTTCTGGGCCGAGTGCACCCAGACAATTTTGTCCACCTGTCCTTTCCCCTCAGCAACAAGCTCTGTGCAATCCTTGCCCCTTTAGCAGCTCTCTCACTGTTAGGAAGTCTCTCAGACTGCCCCCCTTTCTTTTGTCCCAGAGCGGCCATATGTGGGTCCCTGTTTTCCACAAGGAGCTGGAATCTCAGTCTCTCCAGGTATTCCGCCCTTCTTAGCTTTCCAACCCCACTAATCTCCAGAGCACCATGTAATGTAGGTTCATGCTCCTAGAGCAGATCTCCAGGGCTGGGTGTTCAGCAGTCCTAGGCCTCCACCCCTTCCCTGCTCGTTTCTCTTCCTCCCGCCAGTGAGCTGGGGTTGGGGAAGGGCTTGGGTCCTGCTGGATCATGGCTTTGGTACGTCACCCTTTTCCTTGAGGTCTGCGGGTGTCCTCAGGTGTAGATAGTCTGCTGCAGCTTTCTTCCTGTGGCTCTTTCAGGATTTGTTGTATTTGCTCTATTTTCATATTCCATGTGGTTTGGGGAGGAGGTTTCTGTCTCACCTCTCATACCACCATGTTTAATCCCTCTCCCCGTCTACTGAATTTTAAAATGCTTGTTAATATATGTTAGCTCCTAAGAGCTCATTTTTGGTTTCTTTGTTTTAGGTGTATTGAAGTATAGCTTACATACACAGTAAGACTCACCCTTTTTAGTGGACAGTTCCATGACTTTTGACAAATGCACACAGTCACATAACCACCACCACAATCAAGGTATGAAACAGAAGTCCCACCAACACTACAGTTCGACCCTGCCTCTCTGTAGTCATCACTCTCCCCAGTCTCTGTTAACTGCTGGTCTTTCTTTTGTCTGAAGCTTTGCCCTTTCCAGGATGTCACGTAAATGGACTTATGCCCTGGGTGGCCCTTTGAGTCTGCTCCCTGCACTCGGTGTAGGCACTTGAGATTTGTCTGTGTTGTGTGTGTGTGTGTGTGAGTAGTTGCTCCCTTTTTGTTGTTGGGTGGTGTTCCGTTGTGTGGATGGATCATGGTTCATTTGTTCAAAGACATTGAGGTTATTCTTCAGTTTTTAGTGATTATGAGTAAAGCCACTATAAACATTTGCACACAGGTTATTGTGTGAACATTCCATTTCTCTTCAGTAGATAGCTAGTGGTGGGATTGCTGGTGGGGTTGTATGAATGTTTAATTTTATAAGAAAAAAGTAAACTATTTGTCATGTGGCTGTGCCGTTTTGAATCCCCTAAAGCAGTTCTAGTTGCTCCTAATTCTCACCAAGTCTTACTGTTCCCAGATTTTTTTTTAAATTTTGTTCTTTTACATTTTATCCATTCTAATAGGTGTGAGTAGTGGTAGCTCATTGGTTTTAATTTACATTAAATTTAAAAATTTAATTTACATTTGCTTTTGGTATTTTAGTTATTAAATCTTTAGCTAATAAAAGTTGCAAAGATTTTTCTCTCAAGAACTTGTTCTTGTTCTCTGACTCCTCTTCTGTCATGGAGGTGATGCCTGTCCCACAGCTGGAGAATACTCATTAAAATTTTGTGACTGCTTTCTTTTGTCTTCTATCTGTACTGTCTCTCTTTTGAATGATTTCTTCTACCCACCCCTGCCCCCCATTGATCATTTGGTCTATTTTTTAGGAAGACTTTCCTCAAATGTCTGGTGACCTTTGGCTGCCATCTTGGTGTTAAGATGGGGAACAGAAAAGCAGAGTGGGACTCGGGGTGCATGGGCAGGCTTGTTGCCCCACAGCCGTCGCTGAGGCCTGGCCCTTCCGTGGAGGTCTCCGGGGCAAAATCCTTCCAGTGTGGCTGCCGGGGCCTGGGGAACCAAGTGGGAGGACAGGCCGGGTCCTCCCTGCGCAGTCAGACTTCCCCTCAGCCACCCTTGCGAGAGTAGCGGCTTACAGCACTCACAGCTGGGCCACGGTCTGTCCCTCTGGTCCACTGCAAAGAACATGTGTTTAATAGAAGGACTCTGGGGACAGTCGATGGTCTGCAGTCATCCTGCAGAGAGATCACATGTTGACTGTTGAAGAAAGGTTAGATACACGCACATGGCAAAACTCCAAATAGTACAAAATGTTGATAGTCAATCTCCCTCTTCACAGGTACCCACCGTCTGGCCCGTTACCCTCCATGGAGGTAACGGTCACTGTTCCTCATTCCTTGTGTATCCTTAGCGGGTGGACTCTGCATCCAGTTTATTTCCACCACAAACACTACGCCACTTCTACATGTTGCTGTTTACATAGCTCTGGGGGACTGTTCTCTGTCCGTCACGTAGATTGCATTATTCCTATCTTAACAGCTACTCTAGTGCTTTTGAATGGCTGTTATAATCCACATAACCACCCAAGGGGGACGCTGCATCTTTTGCCGTCTGCAGAATCTTCAGTGACTGTCTTTGGACGTATGTGGAGCTATCAGTCATGTAAATAGCTAGAAGGGGAGTTGCTGGACAGCCCCACCCTTGGAATTTGTGTGCAGGATTTTGTCTTGTTGGCAGGAGAAGTAATTCTCCTGGTAGCTGGGTTTTTAGACAAGGGGAAATGTATGTGATGGGCTGTGTTCTAGGGCTGAAACTACCCACCTGGTTCACCGAGTTGCATGTGTGGTGTCTAGGTCTACAAAACCCTGCGCGAAGCTGTGGTGACCATGTACAGGACTGAAGGGCCCCTGGTCTTCTACAAAGGCTTGAACCCCACCATGATTGCCATCTTCCCCTATGCTGGGTTCCAGTTCTCGTTTTACAACTCCCTGAAGCACATGTATGAGTGGGTCGTGCCAGCTGAAGGAAAGAAAAAGGGTGAGCTAGCCCTCACACAGAAGGGGATCCAGATCTCCACCACCCCTACTCCAGCCATAGAAGCTCTTTCTGAATCACATAGTAAATAGTCTTCCTGTCCAAGGCTACGGCACCACGTCCCTGAGCCTGGCTCTGCAATGCAGCCAGCAAAGCAAATCTGGCCGCTTAGCAGGTGACTCTTGCTTCCAGCTCTTGCCACACCCAACAGTGGCGTCTCCAACATTTATCTCCAACTACTGGTCATGGTTTTCATTTTTGGCAGCTGTCCAACTTGCAAGCTCCCTAGTTTGGGAGGATGGGGAGGGTGATGGCGGCCGGGTCCCTTCCAAGCCTTGAGCCAAGTCACGCTGCAGAATCCGCAGGCCCTTATTGCCTCCAATTGGGAAGACAACCGGTAAAGGCCCCCAACCCCAAGCCTGTCCAGGCTGCACTGTTGCCCTTAGGAGGGCAGCTGTGGCAGTTTCTCCTGGATTAAATTCCTGGATTAAATTCCTCTGAGGTCAAGGGTGCTTATGGGTTACTTAGTTGGGTAGTGAAGAATTAGACCTCCTGACTTGGAAGGCATCTCCCTCCAGTACATTTCTCTTATTTTCCTCCTCAATCTCATTTCTGTGGTTCAGAAAACCTCAAAAACCTTCTGTGTGGCGGTGGAGCTGGAGTCATCAGCAAGACCCTCACATACCCGCTAGACCTCTTCAAGAAACGGCTGCAGGTTGCAGGGTTTGAGCAGGCTCGAGCCCCTTTCGGCCAGGTGAGCTGTCCCCCTGCAAATGGCTCTGATCCCTGTCCCTCCCTTTCATCCTCAGCCCATCCCTCCCCCAGGCACATGAGAAAGCCACACACAAAGCCTCGTGTATACTGGGTATTGTAGAAAGACCCCGGTCAGGGAGGAGTCACAGTGTCTGCCCATAACGTGTCCAGGTCAGTTGGGGATGAAGAATCCTTATAAGTCCCCAGAATAGTAAAGAAATATGAAGGAAACTCCCGCTGGGGCATGAGGTTCTTTGCTTTATGCTATAGGTATTTCTGGAAAGGGATGAGTTGGCTTTGGTTAGTAAATTATGTTGTAAATGCACTGGAGGGTTTATTATTCAGAGAAGCCCCATCGTAGGTGATTTTGTCATGTTAGTAGTTATGCCTTAGTCTGCTTAGATTATCACATAGTGGATTTTCACACACTCCTTTTCAGGTACTGATTTTGGGAAAGGCCACGGTGCTGTGGTAGTCGGTGGGGTGGAGGTGGGCAAGTGTGGGTGATTCCAGGGCTTTTCCCTTGGAACCTGGGAACCTGGGATGTCAAGGCATGGGGAAACTGGCCTGACAGATGCCAGAGAGAGGGACGGCCTGGGATGGGAGAGAGCACGCTTACCGCGGGGAAGAGCAAGAACTGGGCTCATAGTTGGGATCCATTTTCCTGGTAGGAAACTAGAGAAGCCAGACAGACAAAATCACATGTAGCCTCACCACCACCCACCCAGAGATACAATCACAGAGAACCTGTCGCTGTAGTTTTATATTTGCATAAATAAACACATGTGTACATACATTCTAACAAATTGTGATTGAATACAAAGCTTTATAACCTCCTTTTTTGCATTTACCAACTCCTCCTGGGGGGACTGTTTGAATTTGGACAGGAAGAGTTGGTGAGAGCCCAGGACAGGGTAGCAGAGCCCAGCTAAGGAGACTAGTGGGAGCTGTTTGGCCAGAGGTAGGAGGGGCCTGTGGGAGGACAGGGGAGGGGGCTGAAGCCAAATTGAATTCCCTGAACACCAGGCCCCGGAACTTGGACTTTATTCTTCATGATGTTATTGCCATCATCATCTTCCCCAGGGGTTACTAGAGCTTCCGGAAGGGAGTGAGGCTCAAGTAGAGCTGTGCTTAGGGAGATGGGTCTGGCAGCAGTGTGTGGTCAGCTGGAGCCAAGCTCGGGGACACTGGTCAGGCTACGAGCTGATGAGGGCCAGATGCAGAGCTAATGCCGCAGGGGGATGGGTGAGGGTCAGAGATGCCTTTGGGAAGAGGGTCCCAGCTCTCACTAGGCTTGTGAGAGCCACTGTCAGTGGAGCCTCTGGCAGGAAGGAGCTCTGTCCAGTGCTGATTTCTGTGCACTGCATTTGTTAAGTCTGAATCAGCTGCCGGGAAGAAAAGAACAGGGTTACATTATCCTCTGTTCTTTTGCATTCATTCCTTTGTCCAGCAGGTGTTTACTGGCAGCTATGATATGCCGGGAGCTGTGCTGACAGAAGAATAAAGCCAGTATCCATGTTTTAATCACCTCTCTCATCTGAGTAACCTTCTCCTCCCCAGGTTCGAAACTACAGGGGCCTCCAGGATTGTGCCAAGCAAGTGTTTGAAGAGGAAGGCCTGAAGGGCTTCTTCAAGGGCCTGTCCCCCAGCCTGCTGAAGGCTGCCCTCTCCACTGGCTTGGTGTTCTTCTGGTATGAGCTCTTCTGCAACATCTTTCACCACATGAGGAAGGCAGACAGCTAGCCTTCAGGGCAGGAAGGCCTGAGGCCTTCCCTGGAGGTGACCTGAGTGAAGTAAGACTTGATCTGTAAACTTGCATTGCACTGGGAGCTGTCATCTGCTTGGTCTTTCATGCCCAGCTGCGGCAGCCTTGCCTCACTGGAGGCAAGGGCTTCTCCGCACGGCAGGATGGGGGGATGCAGGACTCGGTCTGTGGGGACCCAACTGCAGCAGTCAGGCGGAGCTTGAAGTTGTTCTTCCTCCTCTGCCTCGCCACACCCTGAGGGCCACAGCTGTCACTCCACGCTGCTTAGCCATCTGCCCGGAGAACTCTCCCAGCTCTGGGGGGGTCACAGTTTGAGGACAGCAAATGGGCCCTTTGCAAGGGTCTGGTCCCTACTTTATTCCCATCAACTTATTTAATGGATATTAAAGCTAAAAGCACATTCTTTATCTTACTCCTCCATCTTCCCTTCTAAATCACACCATCCTCACAAAGGGCCCCTGCCTTCCTCGGTTTCCATTTGTCTTAGTAGTTGCATCTGTCAGGCAGCCCTGCTTCTAGTTCTGGGAGGAGAATCCAGGCTGAATCAGTCACTATATAAGCCCCCTGTGCCCAGACCTTCTTGTCTGCAGTGCACCATTCAGACTGTTCTGCCCCTGGACAGGACTAGCCATGGCATGGGCCCTGTAGGAAGTGGTGGGTGTGCTGATGGGCAAGAGCCCTTTTCCTCAGTCTTGGGGTCACTTCTCTTTCCAAGAGCCAGGTTAGCCTTGTGGATGGCCAGGAGCTCAGCACAGCTCTGTGTGTATTCTCTGTAGCCCCAAGAGGGCCATGAAGCAGCCTAGTGAAGGGGGTGGCAGAAGGAAGCAGCGGGGCAGCAGGCTGGTAAAGCACAGTTGGTGCCTGGGGAGTGTCAGCGCAAGAACCCACAACAGACACTCACCTAGGCACAGAGGGGAAACTTCAGTTAGGGGTATGAGAAGAGAAAATCTACAGAACAAAATTGCACCCTTTCCACCCCCAGAGCCCCAAGAGGAGCTTGACGTGCTGGGTGGCTCTGCAGGGGTGGCCAGGGAGCCCCAGGCAGGATCTGCCCTGCACTCACCTGGGGCTCTAGCTCCAGCCTCCGCACTGACTTTTGAGGAAGGCGCCGCTGGGAGGCCTGTGTGGTGTCATGGCGCTAACTTCCTCTGGATCCTGAGCCCCTCCTCTCTTACTGTTCCATCTCTGGTCTGGAGCTTTGTGATACCCCTGGGACCCTGAATCTTGAAGCTTGCCTGCTCTTGGCTGCTGATTATAAAGGTCCGAGCTACTCCATCACACGGGATACAGAGTGAACTTGCCAGGAGCTGAGACCCTCTGGTAAAATATTTTGGCATAGTCAGCAGGATTCCCTGCAGACAGAAAACAGAATAAGCTGCCCTCATGGAAGGGGTACTTCGGGCTGCCCCTGTGTATGGGGAGATACCCAGGCCCCCCCAGTGGGTGTGTGTTCCAAGGGGGCGATCCTCCTCGAGGAGTGGGCCCCTCTGCAGTATTCGGGGGAGGCAGAGGTGATGCCTGAGGCAGTAGAGGAGGCCCTCTGCAAAATAGGGGGGGGCAAGGGCAGGCGGTGCTCCGACACCAACGGGGTTTTTGGCATTCAAGGCCTGGGTTTGGGCCTGCAGGGAGACGGCTGCCTGAATGTATTTTTTATGAAATTCCACTTAAAGTAAACCTACTCTCTTCATCTCTCCTGCTCATTGGTTTCTTTTGCTGAAGCTGACTTCACTTCCCCATCCATCTTCTGGTGAGCACGTTGGCAACTCTGTTAACAGGAGAAAACTTTGGCAACAGGAATCTGCCATCTACACATCATTTTTATCTAAGCGATGGGGAAGGGGCAGTTCCCTCCTGCAGCCCAGGGCCCTCGCCTCTCCCCCAGCCCAGCCAGGGGCTTGCTCAGCTTCAGGGTCACTTCCAACAGCTCACGGGGTGGCAAGTTGTCAAACTGGAACCCATTCTCTCGGACTGGCCCATTGATCTTAACTTATTTTACCAGTATCATTTATACTTGGAACAGAAGAGGGGCCAGTGGGATTTGGTGCAGCCCTACAGTCTCCTGCCTTCTTTTCTACCTTGCGGGAGTCGGGGAGGTGGCGGCCGGTACGGGGCCCACGGCCACCACCTCTGAAGTCCTGCGGCCCCTGCCCGCTTCAGCCCCACCCGCGGCCGCCCGGGTGCGAACCGCAACCCCCCCACCTCCGCGGGCTCCTCCCACGTCGCGCGGCCCAGCCGAGTCTCCACTTCCGACCCGGTTCCAACCTGAGCCCCGGGCTGGCGCCGGGGAATGGAGGGTCACTACTTCCGCCCTAAGGCTTCATGAGGGCAGAGGAGCAGGTCCATCCCAGAGCCGACGAGCCGGTGGCGTCCCGGACAGGACGGGCGAACCGGGTGAGAAGAGGATGCGGGCCGTGGGGCAGCGTCGCTGACGTCCCGCGAGGCTGCGCCTTGGCCCCACGCCAGAGATCTTGGGCGGCGCCGGCCAGCGAGGCAGCGGCGCCGTCGCTCCGGCAGGTGGCGGTAGGGAGGCGGCCGCGCCCCGGCGCCGCGCTCGGAAATGACCTAAGCGGCGGCGGGCCGCTCCGGCAGCGCCGCGGACGCGGGTGCGCGCGCCATGCCCGCGGAGCGGCCTCCGGGCACGCGGGCGCGGCGCCGACCCGGCAGGTGGGTCCCTAGCGCTCACGCCGCCTCCCCCGCCCGCGAGACGGCGGAGTGTGGGCTCTGCTGCCGGCCGCTCGCCGCCGGGAGGGGCGTCCGGGCTCAGCGGAGCTGGCCAGGTCCGGAGACACCCCCCAGGTCGTCTCCTTTGACCACGGACGGGCGAGGCGCCGAACCCGGAGAGGGGACTCCATGGGGGGCTACCTCTGAGGCACACGTCATCCCAACCCCGCTCTTCAAGAGGAAAGATCCAGAATGGAGCTCAGAAATGGGGAGTCCTGAATGGGCAAGGCCTGGTTTCTGCCCCTCGGGAGGCCACTTTAACCAGTCCGTCCCGGGAAGAAGTTGGCCAGGATGGGGAGAGCCCGGGCTCCCGCCCATCAGGGCGGCAGAGAAGGCTCCAGCCGTCACCCGCGCAGTCGGCCCCAACCCGAGGAACGGAGGGGTGGGTTTGGGCCCCGAGCAGGACTGCCTAAAGCCGAGGGGGACGGCTGGGAGCGCGGCTTGGAGCCCTGCGGGGCAGAGCTGTCCCCAGCTTGGCGCCCCCGGGCCTCTCACTCCCGGAAACGTGCTGGGCCGGCATTCCAGGCAGGTGTATATAGGCAGGGCAACTATCTGCACCCCCAGCTCAGCGCACCCTCCCTCAAATGTAGGTACCAACTGACAGTGACCTCCTGTGGGGGCTGGAGGACAGGCACAGTCGCCCTTCATCTCTTACTCTTGGGTAATCCCAGAAGCTACAGGGGTTCCTAAACTGAGCAGCAGGTGCCTGGCTAGTGCCCATTTTCCACCAGAAGCCAAGCTTGGTGGGTGATCAGCCAGCCACCAAGTGCCAAGGATTGCCCAAGAGCACCTGTCCCATGCACTGGCCAGTCCACCCTGGGCCTGAGCGAGCCTCTCTTGTCGCCTCTCCTCCTCCCCAGGTGCCTCATTAGTTCCACCCAGTAAAGAGCTGCCAGGGTTGGATGGTCATGGGGGATCCTGGTAGAGAGGAGTATAAAATCCAGTCTTTTGATGCAGAGACCCAGCAGCTGCTGAAAACAGCACTCAAAGGTGAGCATGGGGAGCCCTCCTGAGCCTGGGTCTGGAGCTGCAGAGGAGGAGCCAAGGGGCAGGATTGGACGACTGAGCCTTAGCCTGGGAATGCCCAGCCCTCTCCTCGGCTTTCGAGAGCAAGAGTCAGCAACATCAGTCTCAGACTGAAAGACAAGCTACATTTAGGCCAGTATTTGGAAGAATGACTCATAGCATCACCTCTCAGATTGTAAAGCCTTTTTCTTAAAGTTTAAGTACTCATGAAAGGGGAGTGGAGCACAGAGAACACAGTTTCTGCCCCATAAGTCTTGGTTTCTGCCTTGCTGCAGCTAGCTTTCCCGAATGTGCAGAGCTGCCTGACTTGGGGCAAAGGGTGAAGTTCTGCTTGGCATAGGAGATAAAAGTAATTATTCTGGACCAATGCCTTCCCACAGCGCTCAGGACAGAAGTTTGACTCAGCTTACAATCAGCAGTGTCCATCGTGTGCTGAGCTAAGCCTGTCAGGCCCTGCCTGGCTCACTCTTTTCAGGGGTTCATGTGTGTACATCATAAGAACATTTTCTTCTGTGAAACTGTTAAAGGCATTGTTACTCAGTGCTCCTTCCTCAACCTAGTGCCAGGAGAAGATGTGTGTCCTAAAAAACTAGCATCCTTTGATTAGTCTCCAACAGCCACACAATCTTCCCCATGTCTTCTGATTGGTCTTCCAGCAGGCCTATGGCTAGAGCTACTCCTCAGGTTACTTCCCTGTGTGTTTTCTGATCTCTTTAAATATAAACATATAATGAGACTGCTCTCTCATAAACACCTCAAATCCTTCTTAGAAGCAGGTGCAGGCAAGTACTATAATTAAGCAGCTCAAGACTCCCCCGCCTTTCTTTACCTCAGATCCAGGTGCTGTGGACTTGGAGAAAGTGGCTAACGTGATTGTGGACCATTCTCTGCAGGACTGTGTGTTCAGCAAGGAAGCAGGACGCATGTGCTACGCCATCATTGAGGTTGAGTGGGGTTGGTAGAGGGGAGACACTTTGAGGAAGTTGCTTCAGCAGTTGGCAGAAGCCCTGGCCTGCAGGACAGGTGCAAAGGGCTTCGCTCAGAGGCAGGAGAGGAGTGGGACAGGACGATCCTCCGCTTGGGTGGGGGGTGCATTGGCACCACCCTGCCACTCACCGTCACTTTCCTCTGCTCACAGGCAGAGAGCAAGCAGGCAGGCCAGAGTGTCTTCCGGCGTGGACTCCTCAACCGGTTGCAGCAGGAGTATCAGGCTAGGGAACAGCTACGAGCGCGCTCCCTGCAGGGCTGGGTCTGCTATGTCACCTTTATCTGCAACATCTTCGACTACCTGAGGGTGAGACCCCACCAGCCACCCTGTGTTGCAGATGTCCCCGTCTCTCCTGGTCACTAAACCAGTGCCCTGGCCTGTTCTCCCCCCACAGGTGAACAACATGCCCATGATGGCTCTGGTGAGCCCCGTCTATGACTGCCTCTTCCGGCTGGCCCAGCCCGACAGCCTGAGCAGGGAGGAGGAGGTGGGTGGCCCTGGCATGGAAGGCTCTGGAGGTGGGCAGCCTTTGGCTCAGTTTAGTATGCCAGTCTGCTACCCACGGAGGCTTTCAAGGGCATCACTTCCTGGGGCAGGAGCCTGGTGGGGGCACTTAAGGCTTGTTGGTTATAAGACTAGCTGCCAGGTCTGGAATTTATCCAGCACAGAGAGCAGCCAAAACTTGCTGGCTCAGAGGCTTCCTTCCCGGGTGGGAAAGCCAACCCATGACAGGAATGGTGAAAGCCTCAGGCAGCTGTGGAAACAGGTGGCCCAGAAACCACGCCAGGTCAGGCAGTGTGGGGACGAAGTGGGGTTAAGCAACAGTTTGGAGATGACCTGAGTCTAGCCTGGCCCCAGTGAGAGCGCAAACCCGAATGTTTCCTCTTGTGTCAGATGCGGGTAACACCCACTGCGTGGTGAGGATGGAGTGTGAAGAGTTATGTAGAGGCAAGCGCTGTACTTGGTGCACAGCAAGCACTCAGTAAATGGCTGCTCTGTGACAGGCCAGCCCTGCCCTGGAAGTCACCTCCTGCTGCCCCTGCAGGTGGACTGCCTGGTGCTGCAGCTGCACCGGGTCGGGGAGCAGCTGGAGAAGATGAACAGGCAGCGCATGGATGGGCTCTTTGTCCTGGTCCGGGATGGCTTTCTGCTCCCAACTGGCCTCAGCTCCCTGGCCCAGCTGCTGCTGCTGGAGATCATCGAGTTCCGGGCAGCTGGCTGGAAGACCACCCCGGCTGCCCGCAAGTACTACTACAGCGAGGTTTCCGACTAGGCCTCCAGACCAGGCTCCCGTGGGAACAGCGCCTCCCACCCTGGCAGTGGCGTCTTTCCCTCTCCCACAGACTTCTTCCCTTCCAGACTTTAAGCTGCTCCCAAGTATAAGTTTCTCACTTACACTGTGGTCCTGCCTGGAGCACCTTTCCTCCCCCATATGTGATTTGAGGAAGACAACAGCCAGACCTCCCCGCTCAGGCCCATCAGCCTCTCTCCCATCACCTGACACCTGGGCCAGGCACAGGAGGGGGACGCCTAACCACCGCTCTGCCCTGTAACCGCTCAGGCGACACCTACCCTGGGCCTTGGCTTCCCCATCTGTCTAATAGGTACCTGCAGCCATTGGTGGGAGGCTTTGGGATGTTAAGAGGCAGAGGCAGAACACAAATCACACCAGAAACTGCTTTTTATACATTTTGTACAAGGACCTCTTGGAAAACGAGCATACTTCCAGCCGGTTTTAATGCATGGCAGTACCACATCACGTGTTACACTAGTTCAGGGTGAGAATTTTCTAATAAACCTTTTCTGTTACTAAAACTGCTTCCTATCATATCATCCCAAGGTCCACGCCAAGTAGAGGGAAGAGAAGGCTGGATGGGCCCTAAGTGTCCCGGGGAAAATTCAAGACAATGTCCCCTGTCTTTTCAAGGAGATGGGGCAGGAGTGAGTTCTAGCCCCAAATAAAAAAAAGACTAACAAGTCATGAACATGCTGCTCCATCCTTTTGAGGCCTGCCTGCCCTTAAAAAGGAACTACATCCTTAATCCACAGGTGTTTTTCAGTGGGACAGTGGCTCCCACGATTTCTTGCAACAGGGAGCCCCAGGCTCCCGGAACCTCCACCGTCCCACTACCACCAGCGATAGTGGGCCAGGGCGCGGTTGGCCTCCGCCATCTTGTGCATGTCATGCTTCCTCTTAATCACAGGGCCCTGGTTGTGAAAAGCCTCCAGCAGCTCATGCGACAGCTTCTCCGGCATCAGCGTCCGCCGGTGCTTCTTCTCCCTGCACTCTGTGATCATCCACTTCATGGCCAGGAAGCGCCGCCGCCGCTCGGTTAGTGGCACAGGTACCTAAGACAGGGCACGGACAAGTCGGTCCAAGAACTTGCCAGGGCTGCAGCCTCCTTCCCCCCTGAGCTCTGAGGAAGCCACAGGCTCCCTCCGGCCCGGCCCTGGCACGGCTCCCGAGACGCCTGCCTTTTGCTCGTTCAGCTCCCCCCGCCCCAGGTGGCCTCCGGGTAGCAGAGGGCATCAGGCAGGAGAGGCACTAATAGAGCACACACCCACCAAGCACTGATGTCTTTCCCCTCCCAATGGAAGTCCAGCCAAGTTGATGCAGGCAGGCACCATTTGGGAAAAAAAACCCATTAGCTGGGGTGACTTAGCTAACTCAGGTCATGGGTACCTAAAAGTAAGATTCCTGTCCCAGACTCATTTGCCAGGCCCCAACTATGTGCCAGATACCATGCCAGACCTTAGGAACACAAACGTTAATGAGAAAGTCTCTACCCTTGTGAAGTTTATGCTGAAAAAGATGAGAACACCCAGTCATGACAACAAATAAAACGCTGACAGAGGCGCCTAGTTCAGTTCAACACACAGTGACTGTGGATAAAGTGAAGGTTCCTGCGGCCAGGATTCTCACCTGGCCCTGGTCGGCTAGCTCCCTGCACAGGTGTGGGCAATACGTCATTATTGACTCTATATAAAGAGCTCCGCCCAGTGCTCTGGGCGACATGGTGGCAGGGCTGCAGGGTTGCGGAGCAGAGGATGGAGTGGTGGCAGCACCAAGGCCCAGAGACAGGCTTGCTGCATGCAGACTCACTCTGAATGAATGAGATTTTAGTGACTGACCTGCCACCATGGAAATAAGGTTGGGTATAACCCTTTCACCCCCAGAATGTTCTACTGTCATTTCTTTGGTCACACTGAATCCATAGTGAACTTGCCCAGGGCTGAAACCCATTAGCAAGACAACTGGCCACACTCAGCAGGGTTCACTGGTGACCAAGGAAAAAGAGCAGGCTGCCTCATGGAAGGAGGGTTTCAGCGGCTGCCCCTGTGGACAGGGAGACACTCGAGTGTCCCCTGTGGACCTGTGGTCCTGGGAAGGGGTGGAGGCCTGGGGTCCATCCCGAGAGAAAGCTGACTGAAATGACGTCACTACGAAGTGCTGTGGCCCGAGAAGAAGCGGCACGAGAAGCAGCAGTGTGGGCGCGCAGGCTGCCGGGTGCCGTGGGGCAGGTGGAGGAAGAGGCCTGAGAAGCAGCAGCACGCAGGCTGCCGGGTGCCGTGGGGCAGGTGGAGGATGTAGGGGAGCCGTCAGCCCCAGAAATGGAGGAGCGGAGGTGTGATGAACAGGAGGGGGTGGAGGCCCTGCCAGTGCCGGAGGCATCGGGCCCTCGGGTTGAGACCCCACCCGGCTGAAAGCTGGTGGGGAGCCCGAAGGACTGGGCAGCCGCGGGTTCCTCCAGGACAGGCGCAGCCCCTCCTCAGGCTGCGGGGCGCTCCGTGCTCTGCTCCTGTCCTCAGGCTCCAGCACAAAGGGAAATACGGTCTGCTTCTTGAAGAATTTAAAGGGCCCCGTCAAGGTTGTGAGGACCCAGATGTGGGTCGGTTTGAAAAGGTAGGAGCAAACGGAGAGAAATTGGACTGGAGCTGTGGCAACTGAGACCAGAGCAGTGGTTCCAGCTGCTGAGGATGAAACAGAGGCAGAGATAATGCAACAACATGAGCCTATGTGTCTGCAAGACTTTTTGCTGGAGGCTGGAGAAGGTGACACACTGGCTACAGGTCAGCAGGACACCAAACAATGGTGTGTAAAAAGAGGTGTTCACAGCCCTCACCATGAGCAGCTTACAGCTTGGAACAAAGGATGCCAGACGGAGGGGCGGGATTCCAGGAGAGGCCCTTTGGATGCTTCTTTGCTCTCTTCTCCACCTTCTGCCTGTGAGTCTGAGCACTATGGGACTCAGACAAGCAGATCCTGACAGTCCCAGTTCCTAGAAAGCTGTCAGTCTGGGCCCTCCCACCATCTTGTCTCACATGTGGGCAGATGTGCTTTCCCGCCCTCACCTGGTAGAAGTGGCCGCCCTTGAGGATGGGAACCAGCCCAATCACAGGCTCGCAGTTCTTCAGTGCTTGGTGGAAGATGGTGTAGGGGTTGCGTTCAATGGCGGCCTGTTCCTCGGCGGCAGCGGCATGGTACTTCTCAAACTGCTTCCTTTTCACAGCCTCCAGAGTCTGCAAAGGGATACCGTGGAAGAGGTTGCTCCAGGCTCCCTGAGGGGTTTCCACAGCCGAGCCAGTACCTTGCCTTTTACTCCCATCATCCCCTTCTTCTATGGCAATGCAGCTCCTCCCTCAACACTTCCAAGACAAAGGTCTTCACTGCCTCCCTCTTTCCTGGACTGGGACAGAGTGGGCTGAGAGGTGTGACGCGGAGCGGAAATAGCAGTTGTTGAGTCCTGCAGTACTTCATTAAAGCCCCCCAGACACATACAGGGATGGTCACTTTAATGCAGTTATATGACTCCACTCTTCAAAGCTACACTTCCAGTGCCAAGCAGAAAGATGACAGAGGAAAGCGGTCTGTTTACCTGTGTCATGAGGGACCTGGCCAGCACTTTGTTTCCTCCTTTCATCATCATGTTGGTGAATTTACTTCGAGAAGAAAAGCAACATGTTTAGCTTTCCAACACTGTGTCATGTAATCTCTGAGATAGACCCTCCCTGGGCCAGTCCCAGTCCCAAGAAACAGAAGTGTTTGTTTCCATCTAACCTGATCACTGGGTCTTCAAACACAGAACTTGTTTTTGTCGCTGGGGCAGCTTTGATAAACTGAGTTTTCTTGAGCTCCTGCTCATACTTCTCCTCCTCAGTCAGCTCTGCCAAGGGCTTGCGGTAATAGTCCTTGTCAATCTGGGGATCCCTGTATTCAGGCCCATAGCGGCTCCACCTCACCTGGGTTAGCCTGGGAGGGGGGAAGAGGCGGGCAGAAGCTGACTCCACAAGTGAAAAGGCTTGACTTAACAACAGACATGTTTGCCAACTCGCCGACGAGAGCGCACGGCGTGGAGACTACCAGCCAAACCTCAACTGCCAGTAAGTCTGGCTTTTGTCTGAAGTGAAGGAGAACCTCCCCCAAACAATCCAGGAAAGTCTCCTCGTCAAATGCCCACGTAAGGACGGGCTTTTGAGTCTCAGGATAGGTGCCCCGCTGTGCATCTTTCCCACCTCCCAATACAGGAAATCCCAGCTCTCTCTACCAAGACGGCACTTTCAGCTCCGAGTTGGAAGCCCCTGGGGCGGGGCGGGGGCAGTCACGAAGCCTTCAGGGTGGCATAAAGTCACGTAGAGGAGACTTGGGACCCAGGTATCCCGGCCCCTAGGCGATCTCCAAGACTCGCGCGGCCTGCCTGTGGCCCCTATCCTTCCCCGCAGGTCTCTCCTTGAAGACCCAAACGGCCCTCCAGCTGCCCGCCGCCCTCTCACTCTGGAAGTCGAAGGACAGCACTCCGCGAGCCGAGCGCCAAGCGCGACCACTCTCGTGTAGCCGTCACCACCGGGGCAGCCATCTTCACTGGCGATGAGGACCCCACAGGCCTGCCCCCGGTGTGCCTGAGCGAGTGACGAGAGACGAGGAAAACGCTCCCTAAGGCCCTAAACCTGTGCGTCATCCTATTAATCTGGGAGTTCAGATTCTCTCACTCCGAGGTCCAAAGGGAAGAGTCAGAAGGAAACATTCGCCCTCCTGTTTTCGTCACAGTCTGGCGCAACCCCCATTGGCGGCGCTCGCTTCTCTCAGGCCCCCATGCAGGCCCCGCCCCGCCTCGTCTCCTACAGGTTCTCGCGAGGTTTGAGGGCGCAACGCCGGCCAGGGCGGCTGCAATATGGCGGAGGCGGAAGGGGAGAGCTTGGAGTCCTGGCTGAGTGAGTAGCTGCGGCCGCCTCTGCCTGCGCTCGAGTCGCCGAGCCGCCCATCTCCTCATCCCTTCGCCCTTGCCCCAGGCCCCGCGGGGGCGCCGCCCGGCAGTCCGCGCTTGGCCTCGCGCCCGCCTCGAGCGTTCCTCTATCACGCCCCTTCCCCGGCAGGGCGCCCTGTGCTGCGGCGCCTTCTCGCGCTCCCGCGCGCGGCGCCGTGAGCTCGAGTCCTGTCCCGGCCCCGCGAGCTCCGGGGAGGACAGCCTAGCGCTTCCAGCTGACATGCATCGGCGCTCTGGGGAGATGTGATGGGGCCGCGTGCGGCTGTGCCTCTTGGACCCCTGCGCCTCAATTCCTGACGAAGGAAAACGCTCTGGATTTGGGCTGAAACTCCGGGAGCGTAGTGCCTCTGAACATAAACGTACAGCTTCAGAATTGTGAATTCTGTAAATTCATGTATTCGAGGATAAGTGACCGCTTCGCGCAGGCAGAATGTTTGAACTGAGAATAACCCAAAGAAAGAGCAAGAACAGAGCTCTTTTTCCCTGCAGTGACCAAGCATGGTGAAATCGGTGTTGGGGACTCCCCCCCCCCAATCCCCACCGCAGCACACA